ACAAAGCCGTGCGCAAAAAAACAAAAACAAAAAAAAAAAAAAAACCTCTTTGTAATCACCTGCGTGCGCAGCGTCACGTGCGCGTGCTTTGCACCCGTTTCTGTTGTTCCCAGGACGCTATAAAAGCTCCGCCCCTTCATCGTCACTCACAACAACACAGCCGCTCATTAGCAGACGGATCAGCTTCATCTTCAGAAGACCGAACAACTCAAACACAAGAGAGAAAAATGGACCCCTGCGAGTGCTCCAAGAGTAAGTGATCCGGTCCGGTTGATTTGAGGACATGTTTTTGTGGCTGGATAATTATAAAATGTATTAAATTTCTGATTTGTCCTTTGYTTGTCTTCAGCTGGAAACTGCAGCTGCGCAGGATCCTGCAAATGCACCAACTGCTCCTGCACCTCCTGCAAGAAGAGTAAGTTTTAGTTCAGWCTTCTAAAATAAAYCCTSTMCTACGCTACATCCTGCTGTTTTTGTCGCTAATCGGATCTCCTCCACCTGCAGGCTGCTGCCCCTGCTGCCCATCAGGCTGCAGTAAGTGCGCCTCTGGCTGCGTGTGCAAAGACAAGACCTGCGACAAGAACTGCTGCCAGTGAGGGACCCTGAACCATCACCACTTTTCCCTTCTTGTTCAGAGTCTTCAATGGCTTTTATTTTGGATGTTACAATTTTTTTCTAGAAAAACAAAATGGAAGTGTTTTTTTACCTGTCTTGAATGAAAAATAAAAGTTTAATGCATACGTTTTGAGTCTGGTTTAATATGTGGGGATGATGCTGCTGTGTCTATTTGACCTATTTATCAAACTATAAAGGGTTTAGATTTGAAGCCTCTAATCCTAAAATGATAAAGCCATTATTTCAAGCTCTAATCGTAAAGCTATGACGTATAAAACGCCCTCTAACCGATTTGTCTAGTCTAACTTGTCCTCGTGTCGGCGGAGTAAAAAACTAAAAACCTGCAGGTTTCTTTGAACTTGTGGATGAAACTAAAAATTGCATCAAATTAATTTAAATGTCCTTAATTCATATGTCTGTCAGGTTTTGACCTGTGTGTGTGTAATGTAATGACCAGAAACTTGGTATTTTAAAAGCTCAACTCATGACATTGCGTTATTTCTCGATGTGAGCGGAACGAAAAGACTCTTTTCGTTTTTCGTCAGGAACAGTAACGGTGACGTACCACACCGGAAGTAGCGAGCTGTTCCTGTTTGGGTTTTTGTTATTTTTCCCCGCAGCTGCTGTTGGGTTTACAGGCTATAGTTTCTCAACACAGAACTTTTATTCTCTTATTAAACCTGTTTTGAGCGTCGGGACCGAACATGCCGAAGGTCGTGTCCAGAAGTGTGGTGTGTTCCGACACCAGAGACCGAGAGGAGTACGACGACGGAGAAAAGCCGCTCCACGTTTACTACTGCCTGTGCGGTCAGATGGTTCTGGTCCTGGACTGCCAGATAGAGAAGCTGCCCATGAGACCTAGGGACCGGGCCCGGGTGATCGACGCGGGCAAGCACGCGCACAAGTTCTGCAACGTGGAGGAGGACGAGAGCGCGTACATCAAGCGAGACGAGGGCATCGAGAGGCAGTACCGCAAAAAGTGCGGCAAGTGCGGGCTGCTGCTCTTCTATCAGCACCAGGACAAGAACAGCCAGGCCACCTTCATCGTGGACGGAGCCGTCGTCAAGTTCGGCCAGGGCTTCGGGAACACCAGCGTCTACAGCCAGAAGCAGCCGGAGGCGCCCAAGAAGGTTCGGGTGATGATGACCAAGAGGACCAAAGACATGGGCAAGTTCAGCTCCGTCACCGTGTCCACCATCGACGAGGAGGAGGAGGAGATCGAGGCCCGGGAGGTGGCCGACTCCTACGCTCAGAACGCCAAGGTGATCGAGAAGCAGCTGGAGAGGAAGGGCATGAGCAAGAGGAGGCTGCAGGAGCTGGCCGAGCTGGAGGCCAAGAAGGCCAAGATGAAGGGCACACTTATAGACAACCAGTTCAAATAAAGCAMACACCGTGGACTTCCTGCTCCTCTTCTTCACTTTGTTTTGAGAGAACAACGTGGACAGAGCTGATGATCGTTTTTGAGCAAAGACTAAAGTTGCTGTTGGGTTGATATGTTGTTTATTTTTGTATAAAAATAAAACATTTTGGTTATTTTATTGTTAAAATCAGATGCTCTCGACTGTTTAAAACATATGTTTTTAATGACCATTAAGAACATTGTATAGTTAAGCTAATCAAAGCTGAAATATGAGGTAGTCATCAGGATTTTAGTTTGATTTTATTTGTGTCTAATACAAGTATAAAGTATTTTTTYTTTATAGTTCTGGGAAACTTATTTCCCTCAAAAATGTTGCCTCAGGTTAACAACATATCCGTTCACTTTTTTTGTTTAACTATGAGATATTAAAGACCACATGACTTGACAAAACAATCATGTTTTGTATGTAACACAGCTTAATCATCATTGAAGGGCATTAATGTTTTTGAGCAAACCTCACATTTAATTAGAACATAATGAGTAGATTAGAAAGMTGAGGGTAATTTTTACATTTGCTGAACAGGAACATCTTAAAATTGAAGGTTTGCAAAAAAATACATTCAAATCAGGTTGTTTTGGAGAAGTGACTCAATATNTTCGTTTTCCAGTATTTATTTGTCTTCAAGATAAGATCAGCTCACAATGTTTACAGTCTTTCAATAAACTTCATTAAAAATAAATCTGTTGGGATGAGGAGAATTGTTTTAACGGAGACTCTGAAGATCATTTCTGACAAAATAGTGATAACTGTCACTATAATTGCAGGATTTTGCTCTAGTTAGCACAGATGCTAACTCAGCTAGAAATAAAAAGCTGGAATATTCAGTTTTAAAGTAATTCAAGTTCAGCTCTACAGGCTTGCTTTTTATTTTCTTTTATTTACCTAAAATCAGGTACTTTGCTAGAATAAAGAGGGTAATTTGTGCTAAAGATTTAAAACCTGTTAAAACAACGATGGCAATAAAGTTTTCAAAGAWGTCACTGAATTATGAATAAATATTTGAGATTATTATGTGGCTGCTGTTGTAGTTGTGGAATGTTAGACATGACAGGAAACTTGGCTGTTGCTTCATATTAATTTAATTTAGTAGATTTATTAAATAACCAGTGTTAAAAAAACAGCATGTAGACACAGATGAAATCCTATTTTTTTGTGTGTTTTTCAAGCAGAACAAGCATCTTTGAGTTGAAAGAGAATTTTTCAATACATTTAGTTTCAAAATGTCTGGCATGAAAAAAGGTAAATGTGGTTCACATTTCTGTCTGGACTCGGGGTAAAGACACGTTTGCTTCCGCTCACAAATTGACACTTCTTCTTCACTACACTCTCTGAATTCAATCTGACTGAACCATCCTTCCATTTATCTGTTTATTCATCCAACCCATTAAACCCATCTCAGGGATGCTGTAGCACAGAGAGCAGAGGAGCTCAGGCTCTCTCGTCTCCACTAATTTCCTCCACAGTGGGGAGACGATATCCCTTTCAGCCAGTCTGGGGTCGAACCCGGTGGGCGAGGTGCAGCTGGCTCCATCTGGGAAATCTCTTAATGTAACTGTTTACAAGGATTTTTGTTCAAGTGTCATAACTCCATTCTTTTTTTTTTTTTTACATTTAGTGTTGAGGAGCTACAGGTTTTCTGTCAACTTATTTCAAAAATTCTCACCGCATCTCAGGAAGAACTGTTCAGAAAAAGATCATACCAGCCAGTTGTTTCCTTTATCGTGTTAATTTGGTCATTTCTTACAGCTTGTGGCTAAAGGTGGCAGCTGTCACCTAATGTTTCTTTGTGGCAGCTTACATTTTCTGTTTTTGGCACTTAATTAATTTAAGACAGAAAAAATAAGGTTCTAAGCTACCATTAAAAATGTTACTTAATAATTTAAATATTCTTGATTGTGGAACCTTATGTATGAACTGRTTTTAATGTTTTAAACATCTTTGTTGCTACAAATGTATCCCTAAAGACCAGTAGTTCGCACAAAATCCCTTTTTTATTGGCTACTGAACTGAAATTTGGCAAGTTTGTATTAATGGCGTAAAAGAAAAATACCCAAAATTTTATTAATTTTCAATTTCTTTTTAATTCTAATGTGTGCGATAGCTGTGAAAAACGTTTTTACAAAGAAATTTTTTAAGCAACCTAATAAAAAATAATGGTTGTATATTAAATATCAACTTATTTGATATATCTGCCGAAGTTTTCCAACTCCAATGATGAAGAACCAAAATCAGTCTTTTGGCTGAGTTAAGGTTATTGATAAGTAATTAATAGGTCCATTTATTTTACGGGACGTGTCAAATTTAGTGGCCCACCCACCTGCTTTCAATCTGATCCACCTGTAAACTCCTTTCATCTGCACCCATCACTTTGTGCAATGTGAAGGATTGTGGGTATTTATCCAACTAAGATGGACTTAGAGGTTGATTTAAAAAAAAGCTAACAGTTCAAAACTTTTAGAAAGGTTATTATTGTTAGCTTGAATGCTGATTGGTTAAAAATAAGCTTTGAAGATGACAACGACCTAAAGTTTTTTATCAAATTGAGGATGCAGTTAGTTTCACTCTTATTAAAAAAAATAAGCAGAACTAAATGGCTCCAGCTCAGCTACAAGGAGGAGCCCACGCCTCAGATTGTTCCACATATTTGAGGACCCCCACCCCCAACACACACACACACACACACACACACACACACACACACACACACACACACACACACACACACACACACTGAAATCAATATGGTTCTAACATGTAGATGGGCTACAGCTCACCCCGCTGCCAAACCCTGCGATGAGTGCTTCAGGCCCTCCTGTAATGCTGCACTAAAGCAGGGAGTGACCACTCCCATCTGTTTCATAAGATACCTTCCTCGCTGCAACTACTGGAAATAGGATTTGTGGCTAAAGGCTGCCTTGACGAAATCCGATGCCGACACATAATAAGTCCGACTTAATGCTGAGCATGCAAGCACAAATCTCACTTCTGTTAAAGAGGACCTAACAGCATGCAGAAACGGGCGTCGTTCTGATAAATATTGACAGGTTAAATTATGAGGCTTGCCAGTATCGAACCAGGTTTTGGAGAAACTTGCATTTTAGTGGCGCCTTTGCTCCCAACACACCTGACTTTCATTAATGGAGGGCTTCTGCAGAACTTGAAGAGGTGATTTAATCACTGAAGCAGGTGTGTTGGAGCAGAGAAACAGATGAAACATGCAGGATAGTGGGTCACGAGGACCGGAATTCAGAACCACTGCGCAGCTTCGGTGTTGTGTTAGCTTGATAGCTATTTATATTATAGAAAGAGAGCAACATAATTTACATGTAACGTTATGACAAAAGGAGCACTTGTGTAGATAAAGTATKGGCAAGACATGATAGTTAAAAATATGTTGTTGATAGTTTGTTCTTACCTGTGATAGCAGCTTAAGCTCTGAGCGCTGTGTGTGGCTCACCTCCTGTTTACAAGCGTGCGCGCTCCCGACTCTGTGCCCTGCTGTGTGGGAGGAGCTAAGAGCAGGGGGGAGGGACCAGGAGGTTATATCTGTTCAAAATTTTCTAARTTTTTGGGTTTTCAAGAAACTACATACAGCAGCTTTAATTATCATTAAAGATCATTAATGTTTTTGAGCAAACCTCACATTTAATTAGAACATAATGAGTAGTTCAGAAAGCTGAGGGTAATTTTTACATTTGCTGAACAGGAGCATCATAAAACTGTTTGCAAAAAACAAAACATTCAAATCAGGTTGTTTTGGAGAAGTGACTCAATATAAAGAGATCAAAACATTGAGGCCAGAATGGGAACTATCTTTTCACTTTGTGAGGAATTATCTAAACTTTAAGACTGTTTGTAAAAAAAATATATTATGCACTGGAATCAACTAATAAATTTCATAAAAACCTCTGAAAGTACTCCTTAAATAATTCGTAACTACCGGTAAGTATAAATTGTCAAAAGCAATAATTTAAGATGACAAATCTTTTCTTTAATCTACCTTTCAGCCATACTGTGTAACTTAATAAAACTTTCTGCCTTTATTAGGAAAAATCAGGAAGTCTGGCCTAATTCTTATGTCCAGTTTAAGAAATAGGAAATAGGATAGTAGCTTTATTGTATCAAAGTGGAATATCTTTTAAATTAGTCCCAGCAAATATAAGAAGGATTTGTCCTTGTTTATATTTWATCACAGGGACATGTAAATACTGATGGCTTACAGTTCTTTAATTTCATAATGTAACAAACTACAGTTTTAAATGTTTATTTAACAGTTTAGTTTATTTTGTGGTTTTGAACCAANATATTATATTATTCAAGGATTCAAGAATTTATTGTCATTGTCCAGGCAATGAAATTATGTTTATAATTATTATTGTAATTATAATTGTTGTTGTTATTATTAAAGTTTAGCTAACATGAAAAGTCTGTCAGGACTGATAACTGTTCTGCTGCAGTGTATCGATCGGGTTGGTGTAGCTCTTCTAACCTGGCTTCAGTGGTTTGAGTTTAGATTTCGGAGGTTTTGTAGATCTGAGTTCTGAAAGTTGATGGACAGTGGTGAAGAACAGGCCACTGAAATGAATGAATTCATGGATGTTTACACATGAGTGAGCAGATGTACGCCTCCACAGCTCCTGTGTAGAGCACACACATGAAGATGTGGTGTTTCTATAATGAGACCCATCACATCAAACCTGTTGGCAACTATTGCGTTTTGTTAAAACATAATGAATACCTAATCTATGCCTCTTTTAAAAGAAATATCTGAATATTTTTTGAAGCCCTTATTTGAGCAGTAGCTAAAAAAACAACATGATTTTGAGCAGAAAAGTCTTAAATTTAAGATGTTTTACCTGTGAGCAGCAAAGATTATTTTCTTTCCAGGTGGTAAATCTTAAAATCCAAACTGGTTTGAGGTTTCCTCTTTATAATGACTTCAAAAAGTCCTCATTAGAATAAATATCAATTCAGATTCAGAACAAATATCAATGAGTTATCCTGATTAGGAAGACAAATCAAGGCATATATCTGGCTTCACTCAGGACATCAGGATAATTCGGGGATTGAATTGTAGCTTAAAAAGCAACAATCTGAAAATGTGCTGAGATCATTTGGACCAAATTTGA